ATGATGAACCAAAACCCAAGAATGATGAGACATTAAAATGATGAACCAAAACCCAAGAATGATGAGACATTAAAATGAGAATTGGACAATACTAATATAGTTCATGAGTGCAGGGGGAAAATCATGCCTCCATTCAGCTTACAAAAATGATTAAGCATTCTTGTTGTGGCTAGGCTACTTCATGAGGCAGAAATCCTCTGTTGCAAACCGTGCTGGTTTTCTTTGGTATAAATGCGAATCTTTTACACATGCCAAATGAAGCCTTTCTAAGTTTTAATTCAAAATATAATTATAAGATATGTCTTTCTTTGAACTTTCTGGTTTTTACTTTGTATTGAGATAACCCAGTATGTTTCACTTTTTAAAGACGTTGCAGCACAAGCAGCTTTGGGCTGTATCTCTAGTGAATTGTAAAGCAATTTGCTATTTTTAAAAAAAGACTCTGCATCTTTGGAGCTATGCAATAATAAGCAATCCTGTGTCTGCATTTAATCCACATTTTTTGGTAGAAACAGATTACATTTTAATACAATTCCATTTGCTGGATTTACACTAGTTTACATTGTCAAAGTAATAAAAAGTTATTATAAAATATAATCATCCAAATATTTGATTCCTTGTGGAATGAAAACAGCTATTGGCATTCCTATAATAAATGATAGTGCTGCAAGAACTGTAGTAAGGAACACAATTTTAATTTCTTGCTTTCAGCTTATTCCCATTACTTGCTGGTTTTAATATTATTTTAATCCTAAATTTACATTGTTTGTTTCCCTTTGATAGTCTTTCTTCCCAGGCCCCTCCACCAAGTTTCTAATGGAGCATTAACTTATTATACAATTTGTTAACTGGTCTGTACACCTGCAGCAGTAATGATATTACCAACTCATCATAGCCCTGGGAAATGGATTTATTAATTCTGTGTTATACTTGTGCTCCCTCTACTGGCTGTACTGCAGAAAATGCTATCCTGATTTAAAAATGGATGCTGCTAATGGTCAACTGAGCTGTTAGTACTTGAGGAGTTTGTAGACACTGACTCTGTAAAGGGACTTTGAGCAAGTCACATAGCCTGTATGTGGCCTCGTTTCCCGACCTGTGAAATGGAAACAATACACTTGGAAAGCAGCTCAAGATCTGTGAATGAAAGAAATTGCACAAATGCTCTGTTGCAATGTGGAAGTACAATTTGAACAAAACGTCAGGCAGGAAATGGCATGCAGCTGGCAATCACAGACAGTCTGGCAACCATTTCAACGTCACTAAAGTATAACAAATGTTGTATAACAGCAAGTTCTGCCATTGCTCTGCTCTTCCTCTGTGCTCTGTTCTTGTCCGTAGGTAGGGAAGTGTACTGTACAATACTTAGGAAGAAGGAACTATGCAATGTGAATGCTAATATTAAGCCCAGCATCCTGACATCTATACATTGGGATAACAATACTCACCTAATAGAGGACTATAGGAGTAATTTTTATTTAAAAGTATTGAGACCTTCTACAAGAATCCATGTTTATAAAAAAAGTTTTCAAGTTTCACAGATATAGAAAATCCTTTATTTAAAAAGAGATTTTAAAAAAATAGCTACAAGTAACTATTTTTAACATCCTGTAGTTACAGTTTATGGGAATGGGGTATTTTGTTGTTTTTAAACCAAAACTCACCTGGGAAAATTACTGCATCAAATCCAGCAACTTCCAGGTCAGCCAAATCTTGAATGTTGCCTCTTGCTAACCTAGCACTTTCAACTAACACATTTCTCTTCTCTTCTGTGGGACTTCCTCTGAAATGATCCACTACATGCATCTGTTCTATGTTGGGTGCAAATATCTTTACCTAAAATGTAGGCACAGAATAAAATAGGCTGTGTACAGAAACAAATTAAGACTAGGAAAAGCTACAGGGTTATATCAATTCAACAACTTCACAAACAAACTAGGCACAGTTATCCAAGAATGTTGGACTGTGAGAGAGAAGTTTCTGAGAATCAGACCACAAAAGCCAGCATGCCAGGTGGAGAGACAGCTAAAATAATCAATAGGTGATGCCGAGGACAGGGGTGTGGCCAATCTCACACAATTCTGGGCTGCAGAAAGCTCTCTCTTTGTGATCCACAGTTGGGAACCATTTCTCAGAGCCAGGTGGCTAGATGCCTGCCTCACTCCACATCAAATGGTAGGAGGAAGAGAACAAGAAGTTGTACTGCCCAGTTTATAACTTATAACCCAGTAGTTGGAGCAGTCACCAACTACTAGATAGCAGAGACTTATTCTATAGCCTAGGGGTCAGAGCATCTATCTCTAAGAGAGAGGCAACCCAGAGTCCAGTCCCCCTGTTCCAATAATTCTTTTGTTATCTTTACCCAGAATGAAACAACACCTACAGGAGAGATTGTGGGAACCCCACATCAGAATATCGCATAGCTCAGGAATTAGGGCATTTTCCTGAGTGGTGGAAAACCTGGATTCAAAACTTTTCTCCTAAAAAGCAGGGTGGAATTAAACCTGGGTTTAACCCGATTTCCCAGCTGAGTGATTAACCTCTAGGCTAAAAGTTATGAAGTGGATATTGCTACTTCCTTCTTCCTCTCCCCTGTACTATCCCAAATTTTGAATGGGGTCAGATCTGGAAGGCACACACTGAGCATTTTCATGGAGCAACTCTTTGTTGCGATTAAAGAGGAGGCACAAAACGGTTTTAAAAAAACACCATCTTTCTTCAACAAGCTTTTAGAAGTCAACACGAAAAGTTATGAAGCCTCAAGAAGGTGGCACTGTTGCTATTTTTTACACATCTGACACATAGCATACTTCTCAGACTTCTATATACACCTTTCCTTGGTTGCATTTATTGCATTTTGAACAGTGATGGCAAATATCTAAGATGTAGTCCATTTAGTAAGACACACATTTTTCCTAGAACTCTGACTGTGATGGGGCTGCCAATGTTGTTGCTAGGCCCAGCACTTCCTTATCTGTTATGCCCAGCTGAGATGGGGCCATTCTCTATTGTTTGAGCACAGGGAATGGGGTCCAAGACACAACATTTGGACCCAGGTCCAAACGTCCCACTTTAGCCAAAGATAAATGCTAGCAGCACATTTTCGATCAAGAGCTAGATCCAAAGCTGGGGAGGAAGCAGGGCTGCGTCTAGACTGGCATGATTTTCTGCAAATGCTTTTAACGGAAAAGTTTTCAGTTAAAAGCATTTTCGGAAAAGAGCGTCTAGTTTGGCACGGACGCTTTTCCTCAAAAGCACTTTTTGCGGAAAAGCATCCGTGGCCAATCTAGACACGCTTTTGCGCAAAAAAGCCCCGATTGCCATTTTCGCGATCGGGGCTTTTTTGCGCAAAACAAATCTCAGCTGTCTACACTGGCCCTTTTGCGCAAAAGGGACTTTTGCCCGAACGGGAGCAGCACAGTATTTCCACAAAAAGCACTGATTTCTTACAGTAGGAAGTCAGTGCTTTTGCGGAAATTCAAGCGGCCAGTGTAGACAGCTGGCAAGTTTTTCGGAAAAGCGGCTGATTTTCTGGAAAAACTGGCCAGTGTAGACACAGCCCCGGTGTTTAGGTCAGAGTTTTTCAGTCCCTAGGCTGGAGTGGGGGACAGGAGAGTCAAGCTAGCAAGCAAGCGGGGGAGGGAGGAGAGATCCCCGTTCACTGCTTTCACCATAGCTCAGCGTCTGCAGCGTGGCGGGCAGGCTCCCGGTGCTAAAGGCCCAGCCAGAGGTTACTTTGGACAGAGACGGGAAGGTCCCACTTCCTCCGCTGCTGCTGCAGCAACTTCCCCAGGGCTCCCGCGCCTGCCGGGGAATCAGGCCCCGCTCCGGGGCTGCCCCCTTGCAGCGCGGCTCCGCTCTCACCTGCGCTCCGCCTCTGCTGAGATGCACCAGGGCGGCCGAGGCCTCGTGCACCTCGCTGCCATCAAACACCCCGCAGCCGGCCAGCACCAGGGCGACCCGCTTCCCCATGGCGCGCTCGGGCACAGCTCCGCGCCAGGCCGCCTCGGGAAACGAGAGCGCCGGAAGCTGGCGGATTTAACCCTTCACGCCCCGCGGGGCAGCCACAAGCCGCCGCTGCCCAGCGGTCCTTGCCCTGAGCCACAGAGGGGCCCCTAGTGTCACGTCCAGTCCGAGCTGTGTGTGACAGGCTGGGAGCGGGGGTTTGTCGTGGGGGTCCAGCACGCTAGCCACTAGCCGAATGTGGCTATTTGGCCAGTTGAGTGTGGCTAGTTTGCTTATAGTAGTAGCCACTCTAGTGGGTGCTGCTTCCGAACTGGTGGGACAGCACAGCTCTAGAGTCACATCCGTAGGAAAGGGACAACCCTAATGTCCCTAAAGTGTTTCCACCTGCCTCCAATTAAATCGTGTTTTCCTGAAGCACCTAGCAACACCAGACACAGAGCAGGGCCCTATGATGCCAGGAGCTGCCCAGAAAAGTAGCAGAGAAATTGGTCCCCAGCCCTAGAGAGCTCATCATCTACATGCCATGCCACGCTCTACAGGTGGCCTTTGACAGAGTAATAGGGACTGTCGGGTCTTTATCTCATACGACACAAAACAGTTCTCTGGGGCAAAATATGAGCATCCAGCTGCAGCTCATGCTTGTTAAATATGCATTCGCCAGTTTTTCAAGGGGCTTCCAGTTTTCATGCATGGCCCTGATTGTGCAGAGGTTTAGGATTTCAGTAGGACTACACTGTGTTTACAATTAAGTATGTACAGGAAATGTTACAGGATTAGGGCCTATATGTGCAAAACCGGGCCTTTCTCCCAGAAATGAGGGTTTTAAATGTCATTGCTCTTCCCTAGGTACACATTAGATGCAGAGTCAGATTTCACATGCAGTTAGTTAAGGTTCTTTCTAAGGATGATGCATTTCCCTGGCACGCACCACGAGCAAATAGTTGATGACTCTTGCCCTAGCCCCCCTTCACAATCACAGGCCCCCGCCCTGCAGCGAGCGAGCCAGCTACGTATGGGAGACTAGCAGAGGGCGGCAGGCAGCAGCAGCAGCAGCCTGAGGAAGGAAAGGAACGAGAAAACGAAAGGCAGGCAGGAGGCCGTGCAATTCCCCCGCCCTTGCCGGGGCCGAGTCACGGAGCCCATGTGACAGGGGAACTCCAGTCAGCTGCCTCATCCACACCCGGGGTAGCTTTGCTGTCCGGCGACTGGAACAGGGCCTGCTGGAGGGGGGCTGCGCAGAAGGATGAGGGTCGGTTGCCTCCGGGGGCTGCTGTTGCTGCTGTTAGTGGCTGGGATGCCGGTCTCCTTTGCAGGATTCCAGCTGCAGCAGCAGCAGCACAAGTGGCCTGTGCCTTACAGGTGAGTTGGAGCACACACACCTCCACCCACCCTTTCCCACTGGGAGTCTTTTCTAAAAGCTTATTGCAGAAGTGGCTAAGCATAGAGGCAAACCCAAGAGTCGTCTCTGGTCGTCCAAGTAGCTCTTTTTGAAATCAAAGAGCTGATTTGTATCAGTAACTATAGAAAATTTGAAATAAGTTAAGAGTTTCAAAGCCCTACAAAAATTAAGAATGGTCATAGTGGGTCAGGTGGTCCATTTAGCCCACTGTCCTAACAGTGGCTGGTGACAGATTTTTCAGAGGGATTGAACAGACCAGGGTGATTATTGGTGATTCATCCTCTGCTGTCCAGGATCAGCTTCTGACAGTCAGAGATGTAGGAACACCCAGAACATGAGGTAGCATCCCTGGCTATCTTGGGTCTAGCTATTGATGGACCTAACTCTTTTTTTAGTCCAGTTATAATTTTGGCCTTCACAGCTTCCCCTGGTAATAAGGCTGTGTGTTGTGTGAAGAAGTATTTCCTCATGTTTGTTTTAAACCTGCTGACTTTTAATTTTGATCAGTAATACTAGCATTGGAAAAAGTACAGAGAAGAGCAACAAAAATTATTAGGGGTCTGAGCAGCAATTAGAAAGACTAGGACTTTTACCTAGGGATGACTAAAGAGGAATATAATAGAGGTCTATAAAATCATAAATGGTATGAAGAAAATTAAAGGGGAAGTGTTATTTACTCCTTCACCTAATATAAGAACTAGAGGTCACCCAATGAAATTAATAGTATGCAGATTTAACCCTAACAAAAGGAAATACTACACACAATGCTCAAATAACCTGTGGAACTCATTGGCATCAGATGTTGTGATGGCCAACAGTATAACTGGACTAAAAAAAGAATTGTGGTGGATTGGTCCATCAGCGGTTATTAGCCATGGTGGGTCTAGTGGGGAACATGCTAAATTGAATGTTGATGCATCTGGAGTAAGGGAAGTCGACAGGACCATTTCTCCTGTCAATTTCCTGCAGTGGGGATGGCACCGTAGATTGGCTTAAGGTATATTGACTCCAGCTATGTTATTTATATAGCTGGAATTGTGTACCTTAAGCCGACTTTCCCCCATAATATAGACCTACCCTAATATTGGCTGACAGGATGGATCATCTGAAATTGCACTGTCCTAGTCATTCCCTTTGAAGCATCTGATGTTGGTTGAAGTGGCATAGCGAGGGCGGAACAGGGGGCAGTTGCCTCCAGGTGCCACACTAGGGCAAGCACAGGGAGAATAGCGTGAGCAGGTCTGGGACCGCCCGGCCCCGCTGCAGCAGCTGCGGCCATGTCAGACCCACCCACGCCATTCTACCTACGCTCACCCTAGTTTGGCGCCCGGGGCAGTTGCCCCCTCTGTATCCTCCTCTCTATGCCACTGGCTGGCCATTGGCAGAAGACAGCATAATTGGCTAGATGGATCATTGGTCTGATCCAATATGGCTATACTTATGTACAGCACATTATAAATTCATTCGCCTCTCAACTCTTAAGTATAGAAATTGCAACAACTACTTCCTTTCTTTTGCCTGCAAAAGGTAGATGCTTAAAAAATGCAAAAAAACAGGTGAAGTCTCTGAAAACAGGTCTCAATTTCAGGAAGCTATTGGGCTTAACTTGGTTTGAGTTGGTAAAAAGTTTTATGAAATATTGTGTAACTAATTAAGATGTCGTCTGTGGTTTTTGCTTTTCAAAATTTCAAGTCCAGATTGAGAGAGTGTGTAATGAGTCAAGAGCAAGCCTGAAAACCACAGAGTGCTGAAAGTTGTTGAGGTCACCATTGATTTCTTTTCTTCAATGATTTTCCATCTTGCCCTAAAACTTGGAGTTTCTGTATTAGGAATCCTTAAAACATTTTAATAATTTTTACTAGCTCTAGTACATTAGTAAATTTAGTTTACCAAAGGACTTTTTACGTGAGGCCTCTGTTTTTTTCTAATATCTGTTTTAGTTTGGTATACTCTATTCCCATATTTCATTATTGTACATGAGGTGTTCACAGTGATAAAGGACCTGGCATGCTTTCTATTTAAAACTCAGATTTCTAGAGAAATTATAAATCTGTACTGAAGATTCCCCATTGACTGCAACTTAACCCTTTTTCTTTAAAACATTTTAAAGCTTGGGGCTTATGTCTTTTTTAAGTCAAAGTAATTCCTTGTTTGTCAGTGGCATCATATCAAATTCTCAATTTACAGGTAAGAGGATCGGTCCTGTAGACTTGACCTGGAATCTGAAAAGCAAGCTGTCTTTCTAGCTGGTAGATCATGGCCACAAGCAGTAATAAGTGTCCTAATTTTCAGTGATACTTATAATTTAATTCTCATTGTAATAAGCAGGAGCTCCAGGTGCCTGAGGCTTCAGAAAATCAGGTCAAAATATTTTGTAATTGGAACTTAGTTAGTAATTGTTATTGATGCTTCACAAACCAGTATAGAATCCTGCTCACTGTTCTATGGCTGTACGAAATCTTCAGTGCTAGCAGAAGTTAACTATGCATAGATTTTTTTCTTTAATTTAAATTAAAATTAAATATTCAGTGTTACAAAGTAAGAACGTATTACTCAGAATTCAGAGAGAGCTGATCTGTTGAAGGTGATATTTTTTGCTGTTTTGGCTTTGGAGCATTTGCCGCCCTTTTTGGTGAACCAGATATATTAATAATTTTCACACGCATGCTATGCTCTCTCTCGCTCCCTTTCTTTCTCAGACATGTAATCTAATTAACTCTATTAAAGGTAGATACATACGATTCCAGTAGTGCAAACACACACTCTTAAGTTTAATGCCAGGAGTAGTCTCACCGATTTAATTATGTTAAGATATATGCAATCCACAGAACAAATTTTAATCTGGTTGATTATTTTTTTAAATTTTAAATTAACATATACAAAAACCTCAAAGAAATTCAGCAATCAAAATTACTGTGGAAGATAGGGATGTTAGCTACAGGGTAATAGAATAGTTGACTAACCACTCGTTAGTTGACTATTCTGTAGTCCTGGGGGGTGGAGCTGGCAGCCAGTGCAGTCCAGCCCCATTCTCAGGGACCCAAGGCAGCAGCATGGGGTTCCAGGCAGGAGCTGTTCCACAAGAGTATCCAGTTTAAAAAACATCTCCCTGCACAGACCAGCTGCCTGCCGCCCTGCACTGCAGCCTCTGCCTATGGTGGGTCCAGGCTCTCTGTGGGTAGAGGTTCCCCTAGATCCCCCAACCTGTGCTGCTGCTGCCTCTGATAGAGGCAGCAGTGCGAGGGGGAAGGCAGGTGGCACTGCGGAGATGGCTGGGGAGAACCATCTTTTAAGAGGCAGTGGGAGGTGGAGAGGTACAGAGGCAGTGGGGAAGGGACACGAGTAGTCAACTAGATTAACCAATAAGTTTAGGCTTATTGGTTAGACGACTACCCGCTTACATCCCTAGTGGAAGAATATTTAGGACTCCATTCTGTATTTCTTTCCTCTCTTCTATAGTTGGAGCTCTCTTTACTGCACACAAGTAAAATTCTGTCTGTTGGGAAGTCCCAATCCTGCTTCATAGCCTGTACATTTAACAAATAAATGGATTTGTACATGTGTTGAAGGAGGTTTTGTGAGAAGGGATAGTATACTTGTAGAAGTTTTGTTTTACTTATGTGAGGAAGAACTTGTGGGAGGGTGTAGAGGGGGGTGAGTGTATGTGTGGGAGAGGCAGTGTGCTTCTTGTATCTAAAAGACTGATTACTGAATGCTAGAAAGGAAACAAAACCCATAGTAACTGATCGTTTCTCCATCCACTAAAGTCTGGTGGCGAATGCAGAATTAGGCCCTCTAATTTCAAATTTGTGAAACAAAGCAAAACCTTATAAAGCATATAGGGGCCTAATCCCCTCATATCTTTAATAAAATAAGCATATTTAATATCTTGCTATTGAAAGTGGAGAAAAGAATATTTAAGTTTTGTGCTTTAGATGCTCTAAGGAGGAACAGGATCCAAATGAAATATAGTGAATGATTTAGAATCAAATTTGAAAGTCATTGGAGAACTTTTACAGTAGAGAAATCATGTCCTGCTAGGGGGCTGCGCCGTCTGCTCAGTACGCTTGCCTACCTCCCTCTCTTTGGCCACTTTCACTTTGCTGAGAGAACATGTTGATGCTGATGATGTCATTCTGTTGCCTGGCAGGAAAAATGTTTTTTATATAGAGAGAGGAATTGATAGTGTTATCTGAGTAAAGTCTGTGTTTCGCTTTTTGTGAAAACAAGGTATAATTGCTACAATGAGGTATAATGGGAGAGCTGAAAATCTCTGGAAGAAAGGAGCAGATGTCAGATTCTGAGGCTTTCTTTTTACAGTATATGGGGGAAATTGACTGTCACCATTATTCCAGAATAGGTGATGTGGTATACATTAGTATTCCCAAAATAAATCCCTTTTGTCAACACTGTTTCAGAATAAAAGTGATCTCATTTCTCCACTTTGTGAGAAGAGTAATTACTTGGGAGTAGTTATTTTTATTCCAGAAAATCATCTAGAGGGGTGCTATTCTGGAATGGTGATTGCTGAATGGTTATTCCAGAATAACTATGCTGGTCAACTTCCCTATGTAGAAAAACTCTTTGGACCAAATTTTGGAAAAGATGTTAAACCAACCTCTTCTCTTGTGACCATACAGTAGTGAAAGCAAGTACTTTACAGTGAAATTAACATGGTTTACCACACTTGACATTTAATGTTATTATTTGCACTCACATATTAAAAGTGCCATTTTAAGCTCCTGGCCTGAAAACATGCAGCTGGCTGATTCCATGAACTCATTTGTGTACACGTTTTCAAGAGTGGGGTCTTATCACTTTTAAAGGTATTGCATTCCCATAGGTCCCATTTACTTTACTGGGAGCTCCAGGTACTCAGAACTTCTAAAAATTAGACCATTAGAGGCTATTTTGGAAAGAATCTCTTAAAATAAGTGTCTTTGTGGCATCATGCCTTTCCTCTGAAGCTGAAATGAGAGTTTTCCATGCTGTTGTTTTTAAATGTAGGCGTTTTGATTACCGTCCGAAAACAGATCCCTATTGTCAAGCTCGTTACACTTTCTGTCCTACTGGCGGTCCCATTCCAGTAATGAAGGATGAGGATGTCATTGAAGTCTATCGATTACAGGCTCCAGTGTGGGAATTCAAATACGGGGATCTGCTTGGACATTTGGTAAGGTGATGTTTTTATCTAACAAAAATGTTTAGTTGCAAATCAGTTAAATTCAGCAACAAATGTCAACAATAGGACTTCATCCATTGTAATATTTCAGCATAGTTGTGTGAAGTATTGGAGGCTCTGGGACAGGATAACTCCATTAGTGTGTCAGAAAACAGCTAATCTTGAAACAAGAGTTATGGACGTAATTAGGAAAAAAGCATGACTTGACACTTTTGCCCTTAGATACCAACCATTGGAAATGTATTGTGTGTGCATTTACTTGTATTTATTTGCATTTTTACCTTGATTTTAACATCATTTACAAAGAAAGCGTTGAATTATGACAAAATGTCTGGCTCATGTGTAGGAAAGATCTTGTTAATCTTATACAACTACAGCTTTTTTTAAAATGAAGGAGGAAGATCTCACAGTAAACAAAGTCTGATTTGAATTAAACTTTGTAAGGACATGGATATCAGTTGTTCTAGAAAATCAGCTGTAGTCTGACCTGTGGATCACTCACTGACAGTGTTGCCAGCTCTTCCAACTTTTATTATAGTTTCACAGTATTTGGGGTTTCTGTTAAAGTAGGCGTTTGGAACCTCCAGCACACCAACTGCGTGCAATTCGTCAGGGTTCCCAGTAGCTTCGGTTTGCTGTTCCTAGCCAATGGGAGCTATGGATAGCAGTGGCTCAGCCTGCATCGCTTCCTGCAGCTCCCATTGGCTGGGAAAGGTAAACCATGACCATTGGGAGCTGTAGGACTCCATGCCTAAAGACTCTCAGGTAAATGAAGGTCTGGCAGCCCGGCCGGTGGCTAACCCTGACAAACTGGCTATGTCTAGCAAAATGCAGGACAATGTAGCACTTTAAAGACTAACAAGATGGTTTATTAGATGATGAGCTTTCATGGGCCAGACCCACTTCCTCAGATCAAATAGTGGAAGAAAATAGTCACAACCATATATACCAAAGGATAAAATAAAAAAAAATGAACAAAAATGAAAAGGACAAACCACATTGCAGAACAGGAGGGGGATGCGGGGGGGAGGGAGGAAGGAAGGTAAGTGTCTGTGAATTGATGATATTAGAGGTAGGGAGAGCAAAAGCAAGTGCTTTTGCGGAAAAACTTGCCAGCTGTCTACACTGGCTGCTTGAATTTCCGCAAGAACACTGACTTCCTGCTGTCTGAAATCAGTGCTTCTTGCGGAAATACTATGCTGCTCCCATTTGGGCAAAAGTCCTTTTGCGCAAAAGGGCCAGTGTAGACAGCTGAGATTTATTTTGCGCAAAAAAGCCCTGATGACGAAAATGGTGATCAGGGCTTTTTTGCTGAAAAGAGCGTCTAGATTGGCACGGACACTTTTCCGCAAAAAGTGCTTTTGCGGAAAAGCGTCCGTGCCAATCTAGACACTCTGTTCCGCAAATGCTTTTAACGGAAAACTTAGAATGCATTTGCGGAAAATTATGCCAGTCTAGACGTAGCCCCTGTGTGTAGCCTGCAGGCCAGAGGTTCCCCACGTGGTCTTAAAGGGTCAGCTCCTGGAGTCATGTGTATGCAACAGTATCTTAGCTGCTTTTTTTTTTTTGTAAGGAAGCTTAAATATGCAGCTCTAGACGGTAAAAAATGAGAAGGGCAAATAAATTGAATCTAACGTTTATGGTTAACAGCATAAATTTTAAGTTAATTCCATGATTTGGGGGTATGACTCGTGATTGTTGTTAGTAACACTGATTTTCATTACTTTGTAAAGGATTGGGTTCCTTTTGTTGATCCCTTTTCCACAGTTTGTGTGTGTGTGCAAAGGTACAAAGGTGCTTGATGACTAACTCATAATTACCATTGCTATGGACTGTAAGTGGAAGTCGATACACCAGTATGATGTAAATATTCGTGTAATTTAGTGTATATATCTAATTACAGCATCCTATTTTCTACGCTACTGTATAGTAGGTAGATAATGCAAAGTGTTGTTGTCACTACAAGATTTTTCTTTGTATTTATGACTTTTCCTCAGAATATAATGCATGATGCTATTGGCTTCAAGAGCTCTTTAACTGGCAAAAACTACACAATGGAATGGTATGAACTCTTTCAGCTTGGGAACTGCACATTTCCACATCTTCGGCCTGACATGGATGCACCATTTTGGTGTAATCAAGGAGCGGCCTGTTTTTATGAAGGAATAGATGATTTACACTGGAAGGAAAATGGGACCTTGGTTCTGGTGACCACTATCTCAGGTAGATTTTGAAATCCTGTGGTAATACTAATAACTTAAGCACAGACAGGCTCAGATTCAGATCAAACAGTATCTTTCCACTATTTTTTTGTGGGTCATTTGCAATGCAGAGTGACTGAAGCTGTAAATCTGAAATTGAAATATTACTCTGGTTTCTTAATATAGCTGGTGATATGGTGATACTGTCCTTTGAAGAACCCATGCTAAAAAGATGCTATTAAGTGAGAATTGCTTACTATGTCACATGAACACTTTTGCTAGAATCATCAAGTCTTTTGATTATAAAAATAGCAAAACCGCTTACATTGAACCATTCTGGCCTCTTTTCATACACTTGTGCTGGAACACAACCTCCTGCTGTGAAGTGGCAGATGAATTTTAAAAGGGAGAAATAGAGAAAATTGGGTTGTGCCCTTGAACCAATAAGTGGGGCATAACAGGAAATGCTCTCAAGAACAGCCACTGTCACTCAATTCTTTTTTTCAACTGTTGTATCATAAAACTGCAAATAATCCCAGCAGCAGTAAAAGGTCTCTCTATCACATATAAGTGGCATGTTGATTATACTTAGTCTTTTTGTATAGCTCACCAAAATAGCTTCTTGTTCAGTTTGCATTGTGGACTCTTCGTGGTTCCTCAATGTGAAACTGAAATGCTAGAATAAAAATAATATTTTCCTTAACAAATACTGAACAAATTGCATGCAAAACTCATACAAAAGTCTGCTGCTTTTTAAATAAAATATATAGAAGTACTCAGTACATTCACCTAGCCTGATAGGATTTTAGCACGCTACAGGCTGCTTTTGTTTATAAGTAGCAAAAATCAGATTAAAACTACAGACTTCTGTGCTTCACATGCTATCGTGAGGTGTTATTCTAAGCGAGTTTCCTTCCATTTTCATCAGCTTGGCATTTCATCCTTTGAGTCTGCAGATTCCATCTGACTGATGCTGCTAAGATATAAAAAGCAGCCCGTATAATGTGACTGAGCCTTAACTAACTAATACATGGACTTCTTCCATATTGATCAACATCCACACTAATTCTTTCAGATCTTTTGGTAGTCTCTAGTATTGCTGATCATAATGTATTTTGACCTTTCCTGTGGGTTCTAGCAGGTGTGGTTAGAATATTACACATGAGGTACTTTTCCTCTTAAGGAGATGCTAAAGTGTAATTTTGGCATGTTGCTTATCTTCCCAAGGGACTTTTGTGAAGGCTAATCATTGACTTCATTCCATTTTCCCTGTTCTCTGGCATATATGTGAATCTCCCTGGGAGAAAGTCAGGTGGCTTGCAGTGTAGTGTTGAAGAAGGTTGATGATGCTTATATACCTTTGACCTGGATGTATATAACCATGTGTCTTGTATAACAATTTGTGCATGTACATTTTAAGTATGCATAGGAATTACCAAACAGGATCAGATTCATGATCCATCTGTTTCAGTTCCCTATCTCTGTCATCAGCAACAGGTGCTTCAGAACCAGCTGCAAAAAAAACCCCTACAATAGGCAGAACCCCCCCACCCCCAACCCACATACACACATCACTCCACCCCTGCCCCATGATGGCCTTAAGTCCTGGAGCATGAGATTTTATATCCCTTCCAAAAATATTCCTTTATCCCTATATCCCTTCAGTTTAGCACTGATTGTTATAACACTAGATACTCTTGTTATCTATATACAGATATGGTGCCATTTATTTAGCCTGGTCTGCCAAAGTCCACTCTGGATGTGACTAACCTGAATAACTCTATAACATCTCCAAATTTTGTTACTTTACTACTTGCATCCTTTCCAGATTGTTAATGCATTAAACACCACTGGACCTCGCACAGATCTTTGAGGAACTTCACTGTTAACTTTCTGCCATGATGAAAATTGACCATTTATTTCTATTTGTTTCTGTTTCCTAATCAGTTTTGATCTGTGACACTAAATTGCTTTTCACCCCAAGGCTAATTAGCTTCTTATTAGAGACCTTGTTGAAGGGCTTTTGAAAGTCAATAAGTTGTGCTACTTTATTGACCTACTCAGAGAAGTTTAAGTGATTATTGAGACAACTTTCCTCAGTAGAAACCTTGTGATTCGGCCTCCTCATATCATGATCTTCTAGGTGTTTTATTATTTGGTTTTAATTATTGTTTCAGTCAAGTAGAGCTATTAGGTTTACTGGTGTGTAATTCCCTGGTTCAGCCTTGAAGCCTTTTTAAAACATAGCTATCACCTTTTTGTCCTACAGTATAGTAGCTGTTTCTAATGACTGTGTGTTTTTCATTGCCACTGTGCCACTTCATATTTAAGTTTCTTTAGCTCTCTTGGATGTACACTGGGCCTGGTGACTGGGTTGCTTTTAAATGATCAGTTTGCTCCATTACCTTGTCTTCTGACACCTCAATGTCTAGTAGTATCTCATGTGTACTACCAGAAAAGAGCAGATCTGAGATAACTATCTCCCTGGTATCCTCTATGGCAGGGGTGGGCCAAAAGGGTCTCCATGGGCTGGATCTGGCCTGCCAAGTGGCCAATCTGGGCCCTAGGGACGGGGGAGCGTGTTGTGCTTAGAATCAACCCTCGCAGTTGACTCTAAGCATCGTGTGCCAGAGGGCAAGGAGAGAGAGACTTCGCGCTCTCCCCATCCCCAGACAGTGAGGGCCTGGGGAGGGGGGAAGTGTACCATGTCTCCTCCCACCCTGCAAGGAGCATGCAGTGCAACTATGCACACTTCCCTCGCTCCCAAGCCCTGATTGGCCTGGGGCAGGAGGACTGCACAAAAGTCTCCTCCCGCCCTAAAAGGAGTTTGGCACAGAGTCAACTGCCAGTTGCTGCTCAGCTGGCAAGTGACTCTAAGCAGGGCACTCCCTTGCAGTGCAGGGGCAGAATTCGTGTGCTCCCCCAGGCCCTGATTGACTTGGGGGAAGCAGGGAAGCATGCAGAGTCTCTTACCACCGCCAGGGGCAGGGGCACGGGCACTTTGAGGGAACAGCCAATTGTTCAGAAGAGCTGGCAGTTCTTTTTGTGGGCAGGGGTGGGGGCAAAAACTTCAACCACTCCCCCAACCACAGGTCAGTCAGGGTCTGTGGGCGAGAAAACACAGAAGTGTCCTGGTCTCACCCCTTCTGCCTGAGGCCCCGCCCCTTTCAGAGTGGCCTGGGGCCACTTCAAAAATTTCTGAAATGGCACCCAGTCAAAAATTATTACTCACCCCTGCTCTATGGTTATGGCCATGGCCGAGGCAAAGGAATCTTTGTTCTTTTAGCAGTGCTCTTATTTGCAGTTCACCAGTTCTTTTGCAGGCTTCCAACTTTAACAGACTTCCAAAATGTAATACTTTATTTTTATACTTTTAATGGGTTGCTTTTCAAAATCCATGCTAGTCCCCACCCAATTTCCATTTTACATTTTTTTGGGGGGTAATATATGTGTGATTTTTGGCTCCATTGGGAGATTTCAATATCTGGAAAGATCTGTTTGGCTCAAATAACCTCTCTAACTTAGCCATTTTGGTTGCCTTTTTTATTTTTCTTGTTCCCTTTTTTTGTTTAGAGATATACATGCCTTCTGAGACTCATTACTACTTAGAGGGTTAGCTACTGTTAATCCTTAAGCCACATAAGTTTACTAAATAAATGTCAGAATAGTTGCACATAGAAGAACTAGCCATTCCAAGAAAGTCATTTACAATGTCAAGAAATTGGTCCACTAAACTTCTGCACAATACTAGGCTGATGTGTTAGTATTTAATCCTCACCCTGCACTAGTATAAAATACAGATAGCAGCATAGGCAGTTCCAAAAAATTCAACCCATTATAAAAAAAGAATAGGGTTGTTGTTATTCTGTGTATGGCAGTCTAGCCACGGAGCCCCATTTATGGCCCAGGAAGGACCCCATTATATTAGGTGCTGTACAAAAAGCAAAAAGGCGGTTCCTGCCTGAAAGAGCTTCTAGTCTAAGTACAAACAGGAGAAAACAGGTGAATACAGACAGATGGGGGAGTGCAAGGAAACAATGAGCCAATATTGGTCAGCATGATGGGCAGTGGGCTCAGCAAACTGTCATCAAGTTTTTTGTAAGTTTTGGGGCAAAGGAGTTTTTTTTTTAAAGAGGGGATTGATGGAGAACAATAAAGTGGTTTTGCTGATGAGTATGGGAAGCCACAGTGAGGGGCAGTATGGAAGGAAGCACAGGTGCTTATTTGAAAATGTAATAAGTGAGTGATGGATGCTGGCATTATGGGCCAATCAGGCTAGTCAATGAGAGATAAAGTAGGGATAGGCAGTTAAAGGCTTTAAAAGTGAAGATAAGCAGCTTATATTTGATGCAGTAGAGAAAGGAAAGGCAGCAGAGGATGGAAGGGAGAAGTAATATGGTCAAAGCAACAGGCTAGAAAAAGGATCTTTGCAAAAGCATTCTAAATGGATATAGAAGGGCAAGACTGCAGTGCTGGTCAATTTAGCATGGTAGTGAAGACAAGTCCTTAGAGTTCTGTAAGCACATGTCATTTTGATTAGAATGATCTAAAATTAATGTGGCACACATTAAATAGATTAAAAATTGTCTGATACATTTTGAACTGTAATTGCAAATAGGGAATCATTGTGGCTGTGTTTCCAGTGGGGTCCCACAGGCATAGGTTCATGACCCTGCGATATTGAATATTTTAATCAATGACCTGGAAAAAAACCATAAAATTATCCCTGATGAAGTTTGTAGATAACACAAAAATAGGAGGATTGATAAATAATGAAGAAAGGTCATTGAGTCAGAGTGATTTGATTTGTTCAGTGAAGTGTGTGCAAGCCAACAATATATGTTTTAATGCAGCTAAACGGAACAAGAAAAACAAACAATAAAGAATGCAGGCCATACTTGCGAGACAGGGGACTCTTTTCTGGGAAGTAGAGACACTGAAAAAAATTTTGAGGTTATGTCGTGTGGAGTGGAAGAAATCAGGGAAATACAGAGAGCTTAAGTAGTTGCAAGAGTCTATTTTATTGCATAACAGAACTAACTAGCACAAGCCCAAACCAGCTAGGCTGACCCTAGTGACCTAACTCAGTTACTATAACAAGATTTATATCTACAGCCCAATACATAGCAGAGATCATGGCAGATAAACAGCTGAATATGAGCTTCCAGTGTGATGCTGTAACCAAAGGAACAGAGTGGAACCTCTGTTTTATCACCCTGTATTTTACCTCTGCCTATAAACCGGTATTTTAGCCCTGTATTTGGCACTGGTGTGACTACTACTGCAATATTGTCTTCAGTTCTGCCACCCACACTTCAAGAAAGATATTGACAAATTGGAGAGCATTCAGAGAAGAGCCACGAGAATGATTAAAGGAATAGAAAATGTGCCTAATAGTAATAGACCTAAAAAGGTCACTCTATTTAGCTTACCAAAGAGAAGTTCAAGGGACGACATGAATACAGTCTTTAAATATCTACATGGGGGATAAACTTTTACTTATGGGCTAGCAGAATGGTATGACATGATCCAAGGCTGTGAGTTTAAGCTAGACAAGTTCAGACTGGAAATAAGGTGTGAATTTTTAACAGCAAGGGTAATTAATAAGGCTAAGATATTGTCATAGATACTTTTAGTAAAAGTCATGGACAGGTCATGGGCAATAAAAAAAATTCACAGAAGCGTGTGACACACCCTTTTTTCTAAAATATCTTTTTCTAAAAATATCCATGATAAATGGGAAGAGGCTGGGCAGCTGTAGGGTGGTTAAAAGCTCTGGCTCTAATGTCCCCTTGTCATCTTCCCCATGGTGAAGAACACCATTACCACCGTGACCAAGGAGCTGTGAGGATCCCCTGACTGCAGCTGTGTTAGCCAAGGACCTGTGGAGGGTCCCCTGGCCCTTCTGCAGCGGATAGCTACCCGTAGGGACCCTCTGCTCCACCATAGTGACTTGACTGGAGAGGTGGTGGTTCCCTCCCGCCCCCCTGCCACTGTGGGAGGTGGTGGGACTCTGAAGTTCCTAGTAACCAGGGCTGAAGTCACAGGGGTCTTTGGAAGTCATGGATTCTGTGACTTCTGAATCCTTCATGACAAAAATCACAGCCATAGCAAATTAACCATTGGAACAATTTACCAAGCGTCATGGTGGATTCTTCAGCACTATTTTAAGTTCCCTCCCGCCCCCCTGCCACTGTGGGAGGTGGTGGGACTCTGAAGTTCCTAGTAACCAGGGCTGAAGTCACAGGGGTCTTTGGAAGTCATGGATTCTGTGACTTCTGAATCCTTCATGACAAAAATCACAGCCATAGCAAATTAACCATTGGAACAATTTACCAAGCGTCATGGTGGATTCTTCAGCACTATTTTAAAATGATATTAGGATGTTTTCCCAAAAGGCGTGCTCATTGTGAATCATTTTGAGGAAGTTCTATGGCCTGTGTAATACAGAAGGCCAAACAAACTGATCACAATTGTTTCTTCTGGCATTGTAATCTATGAATTGTATGCATCTGTCAGTATTTTTTCCTTAACACTTATGGTATATTCTATTTTTATTTCTTACAGGAACAATATTTAATCAAATGGCAAAATGGGTAAAATATGACAACGAAACTGGCATATACTATGAGACCTGGACAGTTCAGTCAAGTCCGGACAAGCATGCAGTAGTGTGGTTTGAAGCCTATGAATGCTCAAAATTTATATTAAGGACATACCAGAAGTTGGCAGACTTAGGGGCTGTATTTAGTAAAATACAAACAAATTACACCAGCATTATTTTGTTTAGTGGAGAACCTATTTATTTGGGGAATGAAACAAATATTTTTGGACCTCCAGGAAACAAGACAGTGGCTGCAGCTGTAAGAGCTTTCTTCTCTCCATTCAAGCCTCCTCAGTCTATTAAAGAGTTCTTCTTTAATGTCTTAAAAATAGTAGATCAAGTGGTCTTGAACCACCAGTTTTACCTCTTTTACAACTTAGAATACTGGCTTTTACCTATGAAGTTCCCTTACATCAAAATAACTTACGAAGAGATCCCTTTACCTAATATAGACAATACATAGGTTAGTTTGTAATTATTACGTTAGTATAAAAAATGTCCTCTCTCCAATGTGTCCCTAAGGATGCTCATGTTATACTGGTAAGATTATTGCAGATCTGGCAGCTGCATTATACTGTGTTTGCAGTGGGAAAGCTTTTTTGGCTGTAGGTTGTATGGATATACACTGACTGTTTTGTCCTGCCTTTGGCGAAGATAGAGACCCCTTTCTTAATAGCTGCATTACAGCCCCAGAATTTTCTAGGGGTTTGGACCCATCATTGGTTACAATGTTGCCAATCTTTACCTGCTTCTTCTTAAAGAAGCGAGTCTTCAAGAGCTAGTTATCAGTAGATACAGGGGCTTGCTAGCTTGACTCCATCATACCTGTTGGAACACTATACATTTCATATTTGAAAGGATGGAACTGGGACCAGTTGGTCTGAAAGATATGGGAATGAGTTGAGAACTGTTGGTAGATTTTATCTGTCATGCTGATGACTCCTTTGTGATGGTTATGTTTGCTTTGTCTTTGGATAGTCTGACAGCCTAACTAGAATTGCTAAAGAAAGTATAGATAAGGCTGGCTCCCCTTCAGCTCCAACATAAGTCTTTTACACAAATGAAAGGAGGATTGGAACTGACTAGCTAAAACCAATCATGATAGGGCTCATATGCTGGATGGAGTCAGGAGAGTCCGTAGCCCGACCACTTTTGGCAAGGCCAAATGAGAGTGGCCAGGTCACAACTCTACACACACATTTGGCCCAGCTTCCCCTCTGTCATCATGGAAAGGAGGGACTGGACCTTATCTAAATGGCAGTCACCTTACACACAAATTCTCAATTTACTCAGATTGGACTGGTGAGTATAACACAGGGCTACTCAACACATGGCCCATGGGCTGCATGCAGCCCACAGCTCATTTGTTTGTAGCCCGCAGGTGGGAGCCAAAACAAAAAAAGTCAATATAATGGTCTTCTATTAATATGCATTTTAGTAGTTAAATTCCTGGACTGTCATTGCTCATTAAAAGTGCTGTCATATGGGTGGAAATCAGGTAAATGCATTTTAATATCAGCAGAACTGACTTAAATGGAGCCTGTGTGTTGTGTAGTCTTGCCTTAATCTTTGTATTCATGCCTGTCAGTGTGAAAAGTTATTTGCATATATATTTGAATGTATATGCAATCATACAAGTTGTGGCCCTAGGCATGTACCGTTAAGTATCATTGTAGCCACCCAGGCTTTCAGAATAATTATGAATGGCATATTTAGTTACCAGTAGGTTTTCTTTCAGTACTATTTTACTAATGCAGTGTCTGTCAGTCAAATTTCATTGCAATATTATCTCTAAAATTTGAACATCTTGCACTGTTTTGTTTCTGAATTTTGTAATAACAGTACATTTTATATTTTCCTTTTACCAAATAAAATCAAAAGTATTAAAAGCTTAGCATTGCAGTTATAAATCAGTACAATGCTGCTTTAGAATATTGTAAAAAATAATTATGAATGGCATATTTAGTTACCAGTAGGTTTTATTTCAGTACTGTTTTACTTCATTTTTTTAGCTATTTTCTTTGCAAGTTTTTTACATCATTTTGATCTCAAATAATCCAGTGATTTCTTCTTCAGTGGTATAAGGGATCATGGGCCAACGTTGAAAGCCCGAAACTGTTTGATCTGCGATTTACTTGTCAGAAAAGAGGCTGTCTACAGTATCCCACTCCATCTACATCCATTATCAGTACGTAGTGTAGTTAAGACACAGGATAGATGGAAAACAAGATCTTTATTGGGGATAACACAAACAACTAACTTGGTCTCCCTGCAACATAACAATAATGGCTTGGATGTTAGCACAGAGGCATCATAGGGGATGAACCTCAGGGCCCAAACTCTCTCAATGGGGAACCAATATAACAGAGAAGACCTATACCTTGTCCAGTAGATGCTGTGATGACATAGGTAGGAACATCAGGAGCTGGATTCCTGGAACCCCCAGGCAGGTAAGTGGACTTCCCTTGGTCCTACATCTTCTGTCTTCTATTCTTGACTCTGTCCTGTGTGTTTAATGTGGACACTACCTAACTGCTGTGGTGAATGAAGGTAAGTTTAAAGGGTCCTTACTAGATGTTATCTCCTCAGGCTCTATTTATGAGCAAGACTGGTTCTCCGAGGAAGCGTCTCTGTGCCTCACTGGGATGACCTGCTTGTGCAGCATTCAGAAACACAGACATTGTCAGTGACAGAAATTCCCCTTTATAAACAATTATCAAAAGCAACTTAGGGGGGGGGAGGGGAAGGGAGTCACAGCTGGATCCATTTTTTTTCTTTAAAAAAATTTGTCTCCCCACGGCTCTGGCCGGTTTTGAAAAAAAACACCCACATGAAATACCGGACAGAAGCCCAGTGGGGACAATTTTCCCCTGCTGCATCTGGCAGGGGATTGAGGAGCGCTACAGAGTCTAGTGAAGGGGAGGTAGGAAGGGGCAGTTGCTGGGTGCCAGAGCTGCTCTGGCCAATATGAGCAGCAGAGACTGTCATCTGGCCACGTGATGCCTCCCCTGCACACTGTGAGCTGAGGCAGCCAGCCAGGCTTCAGGAGCAGCTACTTTCAAAGTAAGAGTTTCCTCCATGCCTGGCTCGGGCAGGGGGGCAGGGAGATTAAGTTGGAGCAGGCTCCTGGATGCTCGCACAGCTTCCCTCCCCTGCACCAATTACCATGCTGTCCCCTAAAATTCAGTGTATTTTACATTGCAGAATCCCTAACAAATTAAAAGCATCAATCAGTGAAAAGCATTACAGAACTTGTCAAATGAAAAATAGATACTGATAGCTAGAATTTTTGGCCCATAGGAGGAGGTTTTCAGGGGGCAGAGGAGGCACAGACTTCATGCACTTCCTCCCAGGCCAATCAGAGTCTGGGCAGGGAAGTGCAGAAGCATCCTGGCCCCACCCTTTCTATCAGAGGTCCCCCCATTGGGGCAACCCATGGCCACTTCAAAAATATCTGAAGTGCCCCCACACGTAAAATTATTGCCGACCCCTACTTTAGATAGCCGGTTAAGAATGGCCTAGGCAAGGCAATAAGCCTTAGGAGAAGCTTCTCACACCAGGTGAGCCTTCCTGAGAACTCCAGACAGCCTCTGAGTAGTTACTGGGACTCTATAAAGAGATGGGACAAGGCCACATGATTCTGAATTCCATCATGGAATGTAAGTATTTTTCCACAAACCAGACTGGAAAACAACAAAGGACGCCTGCCCTGTGCCAACACTATATAAAGCAGAATGACATCTGTTGTTCTTTACACATAAGATGGCTCCTGAAAAGACTCGAACAAATCTGAGAGGCAGCAGTGTTAGTCTGCAACTTTAAAAATGAATAGTCCTGTGGCACCTTAGAGACTAACCAAAACACATGGAATCATGAACTTTTTCATAGGCAAAACCCACTTCAGATGGTTTCTGTTAGTTCCACTCCAATTCAAGAGCTATAAGAGCAGAACTATTACCTGTCAATTGTAGGACCCATATTAAGTGGGCTTGATGGTGGCCTATGTATAGTTTTTGATGTGGAAATGCAGATGTTAAAGGCAGGAGAAATTGGCTTTGTAATGTGCCAACCAGTTAATGTCTTTGTTTTAGCACAGGGAAACATCTGCATCTCCTCATCAAAAGCTATGCATGGGACACACCCAGCCCACTTAATTAGCCTCACTAACATGGGTCCTACAATTGACAGTTATTACAGGTTGAACATCCTAAATCCAGGACACTTAGGGAACGTTGATCCCAAGCTGTATTGCACTGCCTCTTTGATGCGCCACCGCGGCACTTCCGTACCTAATGACTGGAAGGTAGCCAACGTGACACCAATATTTAAAAAGGGCTGTAGAGGCGATCCTGGCAATTACAGACCGGTAAGTCTAACTTCAGTACCGGGCAAATTAGTCGAAACAATAGTAAAGAATAAAATTGTGAATCATGTAGAAGAACATAATTTGTTGGACAAAAGTCAACATGGTTTCTGTAAAGGGAAATCCTGTCTTACTAATCTATTAGAGTTCTTTGAAGGGGTTAACAAACATGCGGACAAGGGGGATCCAGTAGATATAGTATACTTGGATTTTCAGAAAGCCTTTGACAAGGTCCCTCACCAAAGGCTCTTGTGCAAATTACATGGCCATGGGATAAGAGGGAAAGTCCTTTCTTGGATTGAGAACTGGCTAAAAGACAGGAAACAAAGGGTAGGAATAAATGGTAAATTTTCAGATTGGAGAGGGGTAACTAGTGGTGTACCCCAAGGGTCAGTCCTGGGACCAATCCTTCTCAACTTATTCATAAATGATCTGGAGAAAGGGGTAAGCAGTGACGTAGTAAGTTTGCAGATGATACCAAACTGTTTAGGATAGTCAAGACAGAAGCAGACTGTGAGGGACTCCAAGAAGATCTCACCAAACTGAGTGATTGGGCAACAAAATGGCAAATGAAATTTAATGTGGATAAGTGTAAAGTAATGCACATTGGGAAAAATACCCCTAACTATACGTACAGTATGATGGGGGCTAATTTGGCTACGACAAATCAGGAAAGAGATCTTGGAGTTATCGTGGACAGTTCTCTGAAAACTTCCACACAGTGTGCAGCGGCGGTCAAAAAGGCAAATAGGATGCTAGGAATTATTAGGAAAGGGATAGAAAATAAGACCCAGAACATCTTACTGCCCCTGTATAAAACTATGGTACGCCCACATCTTGAATACTGTGTACAGATGTGGTCTCCTCACCTCAAAAAAGATATTTTGGCCTTGGAAAGGGTTCAGAAAAGGGCAACTAAAATGATCAGGGGTTTGGAACGGGTCCCATATGAGGAGAGGCTAAAGAGACTGGGACTTTTCAGTTTAGAAAAGAGGAGACTGAGGGGGGATATGATAGAGGTCTATAAAATCATGAGTGCTGTGGAGAGGGCTGATAAAGAAAAGTTATTTATTAGTTCCCATAATAGAAGAACTAGAGAACACCAAATGAAATTAATGGGTAGCAGGTTTAAAACTAATGAAAGGAAGTTCTTCTTCACACAGCATGTTGTCAATCTGTGGAACTCCTTGCCAGAGGAGGCGGTGAAGGCTAGGACTATAATAGAGTTTAAAGAGAAGCTGGATAAATTCATGGAGGTTAGGTCCATAAAAGGCTATTAGCCAGGGGATAAAATGGTGTCCTTAGCCTCTGTTTGTCAGAGGCTGGAGAGGGATGGCAGGAGACAAATCGCTTGATCATTGTCTTCGGTCAACCCTCTCTGGGGTACCTGGTGCTGGCCACTGGTGGTAGACAGGATACTGGGCTAGATGGACCTTTGGTCTGACCCAGTACGGCCGTTCTTATGTTCACTTCAAAGGGGAGATACACACGATTAAATTTTTTAGTCCCTAGACAGACCTAAATAAAACTTGTGTGTTTAATCTAAAACAGTGAGATGTGCGTGTCTGGAAATCTTAGCTTTAGGTCCAAAGACTTGAATATTCCTCTCCACAGTGGAGGTGTGGGAATTATGAGTTTCCACTCTATAGTTTTCTGTGCTGCATAATATGGTATAATTGTGGGTTTACACTCAAGAGGGTGTATGTGTCTGGACAGTTGCCTTCACTGCAGCTTTTATAGTATTGGTTCATGCAGTGGCTAGATGGAGAGCCTGTATGTAATTGCAGTTGGGTGTTTCCCTACCTGCATGTATCCTGTTGGAAGTGCAAGGCACAGAGCCAGTCTGAAGCTTGTCAAGCAGTACAGTGAGAGAAAGTGCCCTGGCTAGTGAATCAGAGACCTCAGCAGTACCTCAGTTTCAGGTGGAACTGGGGGGGGAGGGGAAGTAATACTTGTGAAGCCTCCCTCTACTTGCATCTTCTCCCCTCAGAATCCAATAGTGTGTATAAAGCAGAATGATGGTGCTCAAATGGATAAAATTCCTACTGGTGAGCCAACAATGTGGGCTGAATTAGCTGCTTTACTTTCCACAGTTATTCTCAGACACTGCAGTGGACAATTCTGCTTATACTCATTCAATACCACAGGAATTTGGCCCTATTTCTGCATTGTTCGCTCTCTGAACAAGATGTTAATCACATTATTGGAAGAAATTCTATCACATGCATGCTTAAAGCAATCACTAGTAATTATTCCCTAAGAAAATCTTATGGCATTCCAGTAACACCACTCTGTGACCTTTGTCGAAGACCCATCTTTATGCAAATAAAAACAAAAATATCAAGTATTAAACACCAAACTTAACATTTCTTTTACAAAGACTAAGTATATTGTCATCTTTGTACAAATAAAAGCAAATCTAGTACTACAGTTTAACATTAATACAAAACATTGTCTACTCAGAATGATTCTTAAACACAAACCTCTACAGAAACATACAACTTCACTGTTAAGATGTCAGTCCACTGAGCAATGCTTGTTCAAAAACATTATAAAGTTAAATATGAACATTATAAATTTTACAGTTTACCCTCAAACTATACATTTGGAGCACAATGAACATTAGAAGTAAACAAACTTAGTTACAAGAACTGTACAACCCAAAAATGAGAAGCATGCCACCAGGAAAGTTAGGCTAACATTTTCTTTGATCAAAACAATTGAATAAACATTGCTTTTGTGAAATTGTACATCTAATTTCTGAATATTGCTCTATTTCACACAGGCTTGATGCTCTGAGTTTAATATGAAATGATCTGAAACTAGTTGAAATAAAGGAATACAAAAATTGATAGCTATCATTCACTTCATATATGAACATTTCTGAAGATAGATTTACAAAATAGCAATTTATATAGTTTAGGTGATTTAGTTACAAAGTCATCGCTCTCAAATTTGTAAGCAGTTAATGGGTCTTCCAAGTTTGTTAAATGGCTCCTTAGCCTTTTAAAAATGTAGTGTTCACTCTGCTCTATTCGCTTATTTAAAATAGGCATTATTACTTCACATATTTCTTTGCACATTTTTAGCTTTTTTTAAATCTAGAATTACATGCAATATTCCAGCTAATGAAATTCTGCAAGACTGGTTTTAAACTGAGAAAAGCTCAGTATCAAAATATAGTACTGTGTATCTACAATTTCTTCCAGAATGCTTCAGTTTCCTGAGCTATAATTAATACTTAGGAATGGCTCTGAAGACCCCAAAAATGTCAGTTTTACATGAAAAACTGCATAGGGAAAAAAAGCTTTTGATAACCCTCATAATTAAATCATTAAATACATTGTGTGCAAATTACTAATAGAAATTAAAAACATTAAGTAGCAAATTTAAAGTGTCCAAACAGTACTTCCTTTGCCTCTTAATTTGCTACTATATAATATGAGTTTCATAGTGTACTGCATATAATCTTAAATTCTGTAGTTTAGGCAGTTCAAATAACTTAAACACGTGGTAACTGCTATAGTCTGCAGTAAAAGCATTCAATCTCATCTCCCTTTTTAAGTCAATACAAATCAGTCATGTTCACTTAATATCTACATTAAAGCAACAGGAATAAGATATTGTAATTTGTAGCTAATATTTTGCAGCCACAGCTTTTAAATGTACCCTGTATGTAAAAATAAAAACATTTATACATCTAGACTACTTTCCAAAAAAATGCAGTCTAGATGCAGCTTTTTTGCAAACAAGCCCTTTTTTGAAAACCTGTAAACCTCATTTTTTTGAGGCATATGGGTTCTTTCGAAAAAGTTCTTGAAAAAGCTGCATCTAGACTGCGTTTTTTGGCAAAAAACAAAAAAAAGCCTCTTCCACAAAAAGGGTCGGAAGAGGAAAGCAGTCTAGAGGTACCCACATTTAGGGTCTTATCAATGGCAAAAAGTAAGAAAAAACTAATCTGTTTAGGTTATTTGCATGACAGAGGTTTTGGGATATCCAGATTTAAGCATATAAAATATGGATTTCAGAAATTAGTGCTAAATATGACTGGTTTTTTAATAAACAATGACATTACAATAAAAAAATTAAATATGCTTGTGATAAATTGCAATATGGTAGTCTCAAATTTAAGGTGCTATTTCACATGACCTGGAGTCTTTAAGGACCTCACCACGTGGGCATCATGTCTGGGAACCAGACTCTACCAAGATGCTTTGACACTTCCCAATGAATCTGCTCCAAGCTGTACTTCTGATCAGGAATCAAGACTTCCTCCATTATAGAGAGTTGAGAGAGGCGGCCACCACACATCTTCACAAACTCAACAAAGGCACTGCAAGAGACTTCACACTCCCCTAGGCCAATAGCTGACAGATTTTTACAACGTTCTGCAATACGAATAAGTTCTTCATCTAGTGGCCGTAAGCCATTGGCGCACACAACCAGTTCAACTAATCGAGGACATGTCATTCCAACACGACCAAGTACATCTTTGCTTACTGATCTCCCAAAGTAAAGGTGGGTGACAGGGGTTTCGTAACGAAAAAATGGGTCAAACTCCTCTTCATATAAGAAAAAGTACATGACTAAGTTTACTTTGGGAGAATGCTTGATGAAAGCATCCCAGCTGCTTTTCTGAATTGTGTGGAAATGAGTCTGTCCAGGATTCTCACTGACTACATCAATGCGCAAGTGTTCTAATCTGACATGTTTCTCAGAAGACAAAGCAATCAGAAGCTCATCACTCAAGAGATAGTAGTTCAGTGCCAACTCACGTAAACCATGACATTGGTCAGCCACACAGAGGATGCCTTGAAAAGAACATGAAAGTATTAAATTTGTATTCATGTAAACAGTCTTTTAAATAAAAGCAAGTTTTCTTAACTTGAACTGCAAAAAAGTTAGCTTTTGCATGTCAAACAGTAGCAGAAATTTCTAAAGTGCAAAATCCAGAAAGTTCCAAGATATATCATCAGTTACAAGCACCAAAATAAAATGTAGAGATTAATGTATCATCACAAAGATGCTTATCAACATTCTAGCTAACTCCTGCAACAAGGCTTTCCGTGAACTGTATTATATCCTCTGTACATTCTTTATTAAGTTGTATGTTTTATTGTAGCATGCTATTTCTATGTGTCCAATGTATATTATGCGCTGCTTGTTCTATTCAATGTGAAAAGGACAAAGTATAGTAAAAGTCTGAGAATAAAAAATATAAAAAATAAAATTATGTCCACCGCTGCATAACATGCTCTGGAAGTGACAACTACACTTTTCACTGGCTCCTGATATCTCAAGTAATCTTTATATGGAGTTTGATTTTGTCCTGACAAATTGTTGTATGTTAGTGGGAAGGAAGGTGGAAGAAGCACTGAGGTCAATGCTCTCACTACTACTACCTTTGGTAGGGGTGTGTGTGGGAGAAGACATCTGTCTGTCTAGAAAGATTCTAAGCTAGGAAAGAATTTTAAAGACATCAATGCCATAGTAGAAAACAATACTCCCTATTAGTTTACACAGCTGTCAGCCAAATAATGGGAAATTATTGGCTGGAGTCTCTCTCACCTCTAGCAATCACAGAGTATTTTGGGATAAAATTTCCTAAACAAAAGTAATGGAAATATGGAGCTACGGTTACCATATTTGAACTTTCAAAAAAGAGGGAGTGTATTTGTAGCAGTATCTACCAACTCACGTTGTATTACAACACATTAATACAATGTGAGTTGATAAATACTGATACAGATAAGACACTCCCTCTCAGGGGTGTATCTGTATCTACCAACTCACATTGTATTAATGTGTTGTAATACAACGTGAGTTGGTAGATACTGCTACAAATACACTCCCTCTAGCTCACAATTAGGTTTAGAAAAGCAATTAGGGAGGCATAAGGTCTCTTTTCTGCAGGATTTGGGGGGGGGGGGGGG